TATCTAAATATATATATATATACATTATACACATCACAGTACCATGATAGATGATTGAACATGATTTAAATTTTAATCGAACAAAATGCCAATGATTTACATTTGAACACGCCTATGTGTTTGACCAAATGTCTGGATGATTTAAAATTGAGCACACCAAAAACTATTTAAATTTGAACACACTAGAAATTTTATGTACTTTTTTTATTTATAAATATATTAAAAGTGGTATTTAATGGTTGTTATATGAACTATTTTAATATATTTGTAATGAATAAAAGTTTGTGAATAATTTATAATGTTATTCATTATGTTTGCGACTTATGTTACACGAACACATAACCACATACATATTTGCCAGAAGGCGGCTTAATAATTTCATAGATTGTTCAAAGTTGTAATGAATTAACAAATCGTGGAATAAAATAATCATGAAAATGTTTCATACACTGATAAAACGTTACAAACTCATAAAGACTAAAAAATAATATGAAAAACTTTTATGTTTGTTTAGATTAACAACATTTATCCAACAAGTTCATCTTTCCTGTTTGGTCAAAATAATAATCAAACTTTATGAATCAATAAGCAGAATATTTGGTCAAAATAATAATCAAATTTTATAAATCATTAGCAAATATAAATCAGTTTTAATTGAATGTAGAGTATGTTGTAAAATTGAACGTACAGTATGTTGTAAATTAATTCACACGGACAAATTTGTGATAATTAAAAGTAACAAACTAAAAAAAAAATATCAAAAAGTTTAGATGACATGTGACATGCATCTCGCTCCGAGGAAACCTTTATCTTAATTATAGCAGAATGATGGCTGCATCTAAATTTTTAATCTAATAGATGTGTAGAAAAATATGATGGATAAAAACCTCATCATAACAAGAAAACATTATCTTATAGCAGAATATTGGCTGCATCTAATGGTTTTTTTTATTTGTCAGCATTCTAGCTATACTAAGTAAATCATTATATCATTAAGAATATATTATAGTTATATTATCAAATCATAAAAAGATATTAAATCTATATTGTAAAAGAAATCATATAATATTATAAAAATTTTACTGCACTATTTAACAATATTCTTTTTTATTATATAATATATAAAATAGTAATTAAATATTATATGGTGAGCAAAATAAGTAAAATTGTTACTTTCTCTTATATCAAGGGATAAATTTATATGCTAAAATTAAATTTTTATTAGTATAAATGTTTTAGTGAGATAATATATTAATTATTTTACAAGCTAGCCATAATATGCTCATATTTAATGTTCTAGCTAAAAAAACAGCGTTGGCTAAAAGATTTGGAAAAAAGCTTATGACTCTATTGTTTTTTGGCTTAATGTTGATTAAAAGAGGTAGAAAATAGATAATAACCCTATTACTTTTTAGACTTAAACTGAAAAGACTGTAAAATAACTCATTTAATATCTCTGTCACGTGCATCGCACGGGATACGTGCTAGTTTGGATTATTGAGACTGTAATATATATTAATGGAAGATCTTTATTTTATTGAAATTAATAGATAAAAATATGTTTATAATAAATAACTATTACTCTAAAATAAAATGAAAATATTTTTGAAATTTGGAATTTAAACTCTATTGGCGTGATTTTTTTAAAAATTTTTTAAAAAAATTACCAAGTTTAGTAATTTTAAAATTCTTAGGCGAGATTTTAATTTATATTTCAAATAAACACAAACATTTTTATATATATTAAATAGATGTAAATATTTGTATTTATTAAAAAAATTATAATGATACGTCTAACTAATAGATTGTGTCACACAATTGAAAAGTTAGGAATGGCTTATTTATGTTACTCATTATGTTTAAGAAAAATTAATTGCATTTTTTTAAATAGCATTTGATTGGATTGATCAATCAACTATTTCTATTAAATTTTGATGTAGTAACTAAAAAAGTAATACATTTAATCTATATCTATGATTCTATATAATGGACCAAACCTTTTTGTCAAAAATGGATAAAGTTTTCTCGCTCAAACTTTTTCGGCTAAAATTGGGAATATTTATTGTAGGTAAAGATTGTTAATGATTTATTGATTCTGTGGATTTTTATTGATTTAATGATTTATTGATCCTGTGAATCCGCCAAAATATCTATCTATCTATATATTATATTATTTGTATAGCAATATACACGCATATGATAATTGTAGGTAAAGATTGTTACCAATATCTTTATCTTTATTATCAAAGATTTTGTAGGCCACTTGACAAAATAATTATATGGAAACATATTTATATATATTTATAGATATTCAACATATATGACAATTATTCCTAAATTATTGAAACTTTCATTTGCATATGATAATTATCATTATTAGCATCGTTTGTTTATAATTCTATATAGAGAAACATATATATATAATATTTTGAAATTAACAAAGATTTTATTCAACATATATGTTTCAATAATATTGTGAAATTAGCAAAGATTTTATTGCCATCTTTATAAATTATTTATTTATATATTTATATAATGGATCAATCCTTATTGTCATAATTGACATGATTTTGAGCGGGAAATTTTTTCATCTATATTTGGTAATATTTATTTATTAGCAAATCTTAGACATGAAAAACATAATTAATTTTTATACACTCAATGACTATTACTCATTAACTACACATTGGCTTAAATTGTAATATTGTCTGTAGACTTATTAGGTATATTTTCAATAAGATCGTATATTAATTTATTTATTGACACAATTCAAAAAATTAATATGGAAATTGATTTGATTAAATATATTATCATCTATGGTTATAAGTATTAATTTAATTAATTATATTCACTATTCATAAGTATTTAAAATATTTAGTAAAATAATCAGAATAACTATATTTAAATCATAATAACTTAATAAATAATTTAAGATATTAACTAAAGATTCTAAAACATAGTCAATTTAACTATAACAAAGTACATCCCCATTGAATATATCATATGTATTGATAATACTATTGAAAATTTAAATAATATACTAATAAATAGAAAATTTGATCGTCGGGTGCAATTCAGAGTTATAAATTATTTCATTATAGAAGTAAACTATTCAATTTTTGAATATATATATATATATATATTTCCTATATACTATTTTATAAATGAAAAATAAGTTAATAAAAAAGCAATGTATAATAATCTAAATTATTGCACATGGTGATTATGAAAATATACAATATATCTATATATTCGAATAGATATTGCGTAACTCTTTATACAAATTGAAAAAATGAAAATATTAAAATAAATATTTAGCTATCAAAATTTGTGTGTTTCATAAGGATTAAAGTTACTAAAAGTTAATTATTTATCAAAGTTTATATTATTTAATGCACGTAATAATTATAGCGAAAGATAAATATTATGAATTAAACGTTGGTCAATTATCAATCAATGCGCAAATTATGAATTGTTAAAAAAATATAAGACTATGATAAACGATAATTTTATAAGTACATTCAGGTAATTTATATGCAAATATCATATAGTCTTATACATTTATAATATTTTTATAAACTTATAAATTATAAAAATACAAAAAATAAATAAATAAAATGTAAATTAACAATAATATCATATTATTACTGAATAGAATATTGTTAATATAATTTCATATTGTCTTAAATTATTTTATAATATGTAAATAAATATATTTTTTTATATTGCACCCCGTGCATCGCACTGGTATCAACATTAGTCTATATATATATAATTGTTGGCAAGCTTCGTTTAATTTTATTCATGATGCAATCAATAATAATATTAATTTATTTAATAAAAATATGTGGCATTTAATAAAATATGTTCACTATTTAATAATAATATGTAACTTTCAGTTACACAATTTATTTTGACAGATCCCATTTTGGATGGTTCTCATTTATGTAAAGTTCTTTTTTTTTTTTGGTCCTGAAAAATAAAATATTTTTGTTTTTGTTTTGATACTATATGTTTTTTGATATTATATAAATACATATTTCACAACTAATTAAAAATGACTACAAATATCTCTATTTTCTATAGCAGACACTTTTTAATATTATTTTTCTCATTTATTAAATTATGATTTTTATTTTATTCTATATTTTTAATTACTTTCTTTCTATTATCATTTGTCGTGCAAATGCACGGGGTAAAACTAGTTACAATATAAAAACATAAAAGCATAATAATAATAATAATAATAATAATAATAATAATAATAATAATAATAATAATAATAATAATCTATATATATATATATAATTGTTGGCTCATGAGCATTTAATAAAACCTATTAAATTATACCTATGTGGCAATATAATTTTTTCCCTCCAAAAACCGTTACTTTTTATTTATTTAACCTCTCATTTAATTATAGATAATCAACACACTAATCACATCAAAATTACAAAAAATATTTTAAATTTTTGATTTACTTACAGCTGACCATATAATGTGTTGACTATTTAACATGATTAGATGTTATTGTTGTGGCTACATTTAAATTAACTTCTTTTGGAAAATAAAAAACGTATTTGAAATTCTTAAATAAATAATAAATAATTCACAAAAAAAGATACATACCAAAATATATATTACATCCAATATGAAAACGCAATTTAAAAAAATAAATATTTCAGCTCTTTTAATTGTAAATTTGACAAAATTATTAATCATTCATTATATGCATATAAATAACTCACAATACTTCATTTTTATATCTGTGCAAATGTATAGGTCGAATACTAGTAACAATAATGCTCCCAATATAATGAAGACATGAAAATCATTATAAAAAAATTTATTTTGCTTGTATTGAAATTACTATTTACCCCAACGCTGGCCCTTTAAACGGCTCTTGTCTCTCGGCTCTCGGTCTCTGCGAAATTACCCACTGAAATTGCAAAATCTCGGCCCCATCGCACTGTCCTTTTCCTCTCTTCAGTTCTTCCAAGATGAAGGTGGAAGAAGTAAACAGGTGCCAGATCCAAGAATGGTACCCCAAATTCAAATCCTCATCCATCAAAACCCTAATCCACGAGCTCCCGGAGCCCTTCGTCCGCTACCTCCTCGACGACGCCGGGCCCTTCCTCCTCCCGCTCTCCATCTCCAATGACGACGCCCTCCCCAATCGCGTCCACAAGCCCGACGAAGAAGCGGACTTCATCGCCCCCGATGCCGGAGATCCCGACGACGAGGCCGAGGACCCCGGCCCGCCTCCCTCCTTCCCTGACCTCGAGGCCGCGATCAAATCCTCCATCGAAACCCTAGGCGGCGCTGCCTTCCCCAAGCTTAACTGGAGCTCACCAAAGGACTCGGCCTGGATCAGCCCCACCGGCGACCTCAAGTGCAAAAACTTCTCCGACATTGCCCTTCTCCTGAAATCCTCGGACTCGGTCGTGCACGACCTCTGCCACGCGTACGACTCGTGCTCTGATTCCGATCCCAATTCACGGCGGCCTGCCAAGATTTTCCTCGCCCTCCGCAAGTGGTACACTTCCTTCCGTCCGGAGATGGAGTTCCGGTGCTTCGTGCGGTTTAAGGTTTTAGTCGGTATTTGCCAGCGGGAGGTGACGAATTTCTACCCAGCCCTCCTCGAGAAAAAGGGCGATTTGGGGAGTGCGATATTGGAATTCTTTGAAGGGAATGTGAGGGAGGGTTTTGGGTCCGATAGCTACACGTTTGATGTGTATGTGACGAGGGACGGTAGGGTTAAGCTCGTGGATTTCAACCCGTGGGGTGGGCCCACGTTGCCCCTTTTGTTCGACTGGGACGAGTTGGATGTGTTGTCGGGGGATTCGGGTTTGGAGTTTCGGGTGGTGGAGAACCGATGTGGGATTCGTCCGTGTTTGAAAACGGCGGTGCCTTACGATTATTTGGATACGAGCAGTGGGAGCGGATGGGACCAGTTTTTCAGGAATGCACATGAGGAGCTGAGGAAGCAAATGTCGGCTAGCGAAGCCGGAGCTTGAGTTGAGCTGAGTGAATTATTGGCTAGTGTGTGGTAAAGTTATTGTTTTCATAATGTGGTAGGATAGGATTAGATGCATTGTTATTGTTATTGTTTTTTTAGCATGATTAGTTTGTTAGCTTCAGACATTTGGCATCAAATGCATTTGTACTAAATTGTACTACCAAGTATCAGATATGATGGAAGAAATTCATTGGAGTTGATCATTTTATTGGACTGTTAAAGATGTTAGGAGAGCTCTATGTTATTTGTATTCGTTTTTTGCTCCCAAAGGTACATATCTGTAGCAATTATTATAAAATGAAGGAAATGAGCAAAGTTGTAGAAAATTGAGGTTGAATAACTAAAAGCAGCAGAGGAGTGAAGACAGAAAACAGAGAAAGAGAGGGAAAAGGGACATATCTGATGCTGCCAGTGGCCAACATAATCTGAAGGAACAACAATCTTTGGACGAGGATGGAAAATCTGATAATGAGGAAACCTAGAGATATGATCAAGTTATTTCATGTTTGTTATTTCACATGGAATGGCAAATTCCTTATCGTTCAAACAATCTTTCTTAAATGCTTATCTTTCTGAAATGCTACTTAACCTGATAGTTCGAGATGCCGGAGTAATTTTACATCCTTTCTATTACTGTTAATTCCTTGGTTGATGGTTTGTGATGTTGCTTGAAGTGTATGTTCTGAAGATTTTGTTTTACATCATTTTATGGGTAATCATACCATTTTGTTTTGGTATTGCTGACCGTGCTCCATGTTCTGAAATTTTTCTACTTGATTAGATCTTTCAATGTTCATTACGGTATTGTTGTATCATAAATTTTCAAATTCTTGTTGTGGGTTTTTGGAGTCGACATATTTGGTGGGTTTCAATCGGATTTTCAGGGTGCTGTGATTTGTAATTTCTTTATTTTTCCGAAACTGTGACGAACTGTTCCTGTGGCTTTAGACCACCGCCTCCTGTTTCCAGTCTCGAGCTATCTAAAGAAATTGGTGTGAAGGCAGCTGATGAGGTGCAAATCTGGGTGAATCAAGCCTTGTCGATTGCACTTGGTGGAAACTTGTGACTTTTCATTTTGGTAATCGTTATGCCTCCATAATGAATCTTGATTTTGTTCGTGATCGATTGGAAGAGTTTAATGTAATTCCATTGTTTTTGTTAGCTCGCAATAGGTTTGCCGATTATTCCCTGTATTGGTTGATTATTCGACTTTCTCACGCTGGTCTATGTTGGTATGTCTAATATTTTTGCGAGGCTGTGTGGATCAGTTATATGCATTGTTAATAATTTTTGTTGTGTTTTTCCATGGGAAGCAGGTGTCGTTCTTTGTTTCCTGCCGCCTCTATTGTATGACAATCACCAAAATTCTTGTGTGAGGTGCGGTTTAACCATTAGGTGGGTCGACCAATCATACTTCTGTTTATGTTGTTCTTTAGAGTGTGTCGTTTCAGTTTGAAAGTATACAAATCTCTGTTGAAAAGGTATGATTTCTGTTTAACCAATTTCTGGATCATTTTTTTTTTTTTTTTTTTTTTTTTTTTTTTTTTTTTTTTTTTCCCTATATGTCCATTGCATATGGAGCTGGAAGAATCATTGTTGACAATTCTCCTGGCATAGTGCAAATAATGGACTAGAACAAAATGACTCAATTAAATTCTAGTGCTTCTTCTATTAGTGAAGTTTCTAGAAAAAAAATATATCAAACGACGCAACGCACCTTGGGTCGTTATGGAAACAGCCTCCTTGTATAATTATAAGGGTAAGGTCTGCGTACAACTGACCCCCCAGACCCCAACCTGTTGGGAATATACTGGGTATGTTGATGTTGATGATGTTTTTTTTCCCCTATGTGTGTTATTATAGCCCTTTTTGTGTTTCTTTTACCATTGGTTCTCTTGGGTTTCATCTCTAGCCTACTCCAACTTGTTTGGGACTAAAAGGCTATGTTGTTGTTGTTGTTGTTGTTGTTGTATGTGTGTTGTTGTAGTCCCTCTATCTGTCCCTCTTACCTTGCCCTTCCAATCACCCGCTCCACCGCACGGCCCCTTGTGCTACTCTCATGTCGAGAAGGGAAGAAATCCATATGTTAAACCATGCAACTACCTTCCTCTAATTCCTTTTCCCTGTTTGTTGATTGTGTTTGTATCTGTAGCTTATCAGTGAGGACATGCTCACCATATGTTTTGACTTGCTTTTCCCATTTTCATTTTCAGGATCTTCCGTGGACCGAGCGAATTTTTTTGGTTGAAAATGAAGGTTTCTTGGAGAACATAGCCTACACCGATCATCCTACATTACTTTGCTTGTACAGAAATGGCTGGTCTTAACAGATCTCCTATATGCAGTGTTTCTAAGCAAAATTCAGCTTCTCCAAGGCTTCCTTTAGGTACCAGGACTAACCCTTTCGACTCTGATGATGAGTTAGATAATACTAATAAGACCCTTAAGACCAGACTCTACAGGAACTGGAAAATTATTCCATTTATAAAGCTCAAGAGACTATGAAAACAGTCGAAAGTTGTCTCGAGATTGCTGAGGACATAAGGGAAGATGCTACTAAGACTCTGGTCACGTTGCATCAACAAGGCGAGCAATTCACGAGAACTCACAAGGCTGCTGCTGACATAGAGCATGACCTTAGCAGGGTATGTCATTCAGAGTGATTTGGCTCTGGCAAAATCTTCTTCTACTCCATTTGTCTTATTTTTTTTTTTTTTTTTTTTCGGATTAGATTTGGCTCAATTTTTAATTTTTACCGTGACTTTTGTATGGCATTCAGAGTGATTGAGTTGAGCAATAGGCTTGGGAGATCTAATTTGTTGTCATTTTCTCATTCTTGGGAGGGCTATTCAATGAGTGGGGCTTGCTTTATGGTAATTTAGGGGTGTTTTGTAAGGAGTTGCAACTTATCAAAATTAGTTTTCATTGAATTAGTTTTTTTAATCATTTTAGCTTAATATCTAACTCAATCCCATTATTCTTAATATTTTCAATATAATTAAATAATTGGTCTTGTTTGGTAATCAGTGGTTAGCTATTAGCTGGTATCGGATTGCATTAGCTGTTTTGATTAGCCGGGTTAGCGGTTTTGATCAACTTATTGTGTTGGCGGCTTGTAAAAATGTATTTGGTAAAATTAGTTATTTTTAATTAGCTGCTAACATGTATAGTTACTTGACATCAACATACTTGAAAATTATTTTTATGTAGATATTTATAAAGTAAAACACAAATATCTACTTTCCAAAAAACTTTTTTTTTTCAACAGCACATCAACTCGTTCTTATGTCATACAATTGAATTAACAAAAAATTGGATACTAAATTAATTTTAGTTTTATTTTAAAGGAACTAATATACTTTTACTTCGATTTTTGTTCGAGTAATGTTTGTTGGTGTTCGTTATACTTTCAAATAGCTCAATTTCACTTTTTATCGACAACACATCTAACTCATTTCTAAACCATAAAATGGATTTTTTTCGGATACTAAATAAATTTGTATTTTAACAGAAGCTTCTATCTTGTTCGAGCGTCCGTTCTACTTTCAAGATAGTTTGGTTTTACTTGTTTTTTTTTAACAACGCATCTAACTTGTTCTTATACAATTGAATTATTTTTTCGGATACTAAATAAATTCAGTTTATTGTAACGAAAATAACATACTTTTATTCAATCTTGTTCGACAATGTTTGTTGGCGTCCGTTGTACTTTCAAAATATCACGGTTTTACGTTTTTTTTTTCGGCAATAAATCCAACTCGTTCTTATACCATATATTTGAATTATATTTTTTTTTTCACATGCTAAATTAATTTCAGTTTTATCTTAATGATAATAACATACTTTTACTTCTTCTTGTTCGATCAATGTTTGTTGACGTCTGTTCTACTTTTATCTTGTTTGAGAAAAAAATTTTTGAGTACTAAATTAATACCAATATCATTTTCGTTTCTCACATGATATAAAGCTAAAGATGAAATTCATCTATTATTATTATTATTATTATTATTATTATTATTATTATTATTATTATTATTATTATTATTATTATTATTATTATTATTATTATTATTATTATTATTTTCTCTTAGGGCTTGGCCTTCTTTAATTTTCATGAGAATAGATTTCTAAAAAAAATGGAGGCATTGTTATTAAAGGCAAATATGAACTTTTTATTTATTTATTATTATTTTTTTAATCTTTAGGGTGACTTTCTTCAATTTTCATGAGAGTAGATTTCTAAAAAATAGAAAAATGGAGGCAATTAAGGGTAAAAGTGTACTTTTATTTTGTTCCGTTCAAAATCCAAGTGAAAACGCTACAAGATGTAGCATTTCAATTTTTAGCGGTTGAGCACCAAAAAGCCAATTGCAAAAGCTACTTATCAAACGAAAATTCGACTGTTTGAAAAAAGTCAAATCAACTGAAATGTTAAAAAGCTAAATTTTTAACAAAAGGCCAATAACCAAACACCCCGAACATCAATCATCTCTCTCCTACATTAACTATCTATCACTTCTATCATCTGTCTCGTACTTTTACATTCCACCAACTTTAATTATTACATTTTAAATTTTATTTAAATACAATCTCTTTCATCTCACTCAATCAAATTTATTTAAAATAACTCATTTTAACTCATAATCCAATTTTAATCGAATTTAACTAGTGACGCTCGTTTTCTAGTTGCTATGTTAATCTGATGTAGAGCGTATGTATGATTGGGAAGAACACGAACAATTCTCAAGAGAAATCTCAAAATATCAATAATCAAGTATGTTTTCCAAAAGGGAGAAGACGATAGTTTAATACATCAGATAATCCCTAATCTTAAAAGTTCAGTAAATAACCAAAAAAGCCCAACACTAATAATAATAATAATAAAAAGAGCCCAATAATAAATAAAGACAACTAAAGAGAAATGAACCAAACTAAATACGAAGACGATCATATTTATTTAAAAACGCTATCGCGGTCTCGTCTCCATCATCCTCCCCC